AGCAATGCCGTGGATTAAATCCACCATCTGTAAACCCAAGTGCTACTCTTTATTGAGCTGGGAAGGTGGCTCAGTGGTAGAGCGCTTGCCTTGCATGCATGAAGTCCTGGGTTCGATTCCTCAGCACCACGTAAGAAGAAAAAGCTGGAAGTGGCACTGTGGCTCAAGTGGTAGAGCGCTAGCCTTGAGCTGAAGAACTGAGGGCCAGTGCCTAGGCCCAGAGTTCAGGCCCCATGACCAACAACAACAGCAAAAAATATATATTTATTATTACTGAAGCCTTTTTAGAAAATTTAAATTTTATAAAAAGCCGGGACCCCGCTCCTGCTGCTCTGAGTGGTCCCTGGATGTCATCCCCAATCGTGTGTTCCCCCTCTCCCCCCCCCCCCGCCTCCGCCATTTCTGAACAAGGTGAGTGGGCAAGTGAGGGCCAAAATGACAGATCCAGGCATCAAGGTGGCCCTGGGGGGCGGGGTCATAAACGGAGGGGGCCTGCGGTTTGGGAATGTCCCTTTTTTTCTCCAACTCACCTTTCAAAAAAGCAACTCCAAGGAGAGGTGACCAGAAGAGGAGGGAGGACAGGGATCGGAAGGGGAGGGAGAGGGTGAGAACAATGGCTCTCATCTGGACTTTCACACCCACTTGGAGCTGAATGGTGCCACCTGAATGGGACTTTGTTGTCAGGTGCTGAGGTGGTGGGAGGGGAATCTGACAAAGGCCCACACCCCGGCCACCCAGCCACCGGAGTCGCCAAGGCCAGAACAGGAGAGCTGAGGAGTTGCAGAATGCCCAGGGCTGCCTGAGCTCAGCAGGGCAGGCCTCCAGGTGGCCCCCCAGAGGAGCCGGGAACCCTGAGCCTGGCCGGGAACTTGCCCATGCATGAGCTCCCCCTGGACTCCCGGGCTGGAGACTGGGAAGGAGGGTTCATCCTAGGAGAGCCAGGGCAGGGCTTCCCGGACAAGCCAGGCAGAAGAAGGGCTGTGAAAGGGTCAGCGGAAGGTCCCTCGGCTTCAAATCTTTCCTGTTTCCTTTTGGTCCTGCTCTCACCATGGCGGACACCATGTGGTCTAGGAGCACTGTGCCTAATCTGGTTGGAATTTCCTCCTCCACCCACCTGGCATGCTCCCCACAGGCTTGAGCACTCCTGACCAGACCTGGGGTTTCTCATTTCCACTCCCAAGTGTCAGTCTAGACCACTGCATCACCTGCCACTTTGGAATCGCAGTTAGAGACTCCTAGACAACCCTGGGTTGGAGAAGCTCAGGTACAAAAAGCAAGCTGTGCCTCTCCCTCAGCCCTGCGGAGACCCTGTGCTCCCGCCCTTGGTGAGTCACAGCATCCCTCGGGGCAAAGGTCACAGCAACCTGGTCCAGTACCAACGAGTCAGCACAGGTACCACTTGGTGTAGGGAATAAGGAAAAGAAGACAGAGCCAGGCAACAGTGACTACGTCTGTAATCCTAGCTACTTGGGACACTGAGAGCTGAGGACCATGACTCAAAAACAGCCAAGGCAGGAAAAGCCCATGCAACTCTTATTTCCATTTAATCACCAAAAGGAGAGAAGTAGACCTATGGTTCAAGAGGTAGAGAGAGTTCAAGTACTCAGGGAAAAGCCAAGCAAGAGTAAATGCACACACAAAAAATTAATAATAATAATAAAATACACAGGAAGGAGGAAACTTGAAAAATCAAATTGCTGCCATTCTTTCAAATTACAGTTTAATAATCTCAGCTGTTGGCAGTTGGAGCCTCAGGTTCACAGTACTGAGGAGTCTTCAACAGTCACCAACAGCTACAGGTGGGTTTCATACTGCCAACAACTAGGGAACACTAACACACACACAGCATTACACACACACACACAGCATTTCCAGTCTGTATCTCCATACTACAGGACAGGCCTGCTTCTATTTTATACTCTCACCAACTTCTCTTTAAAAAGCTGCACCCAGCCAGGTGGTGGTGGCTCACACCTGTAATCCTAGCTACTCAGGAGGCTGATATCTGAGGATCATGGTTCAAGGCCAGCCCAGGCAGGAAAGTCCATGAGACTCTTGTCCCCAATTAACCCTCAGAAAACCAGAAGTGGCGCTGTGGCTCAAGTGGTAGAGTGCTTGCCTTGAGCTGAAGAGCTCAGGGACAGCGCCCAGGCCCAGAGTTCAAGCCCCACAACCAACAAAAAAAAAAAAAGACAAAAAAAAATTAAACTTTTGCTCATCCTGAAACAATTCACATGGATTTGGCCTTGGCTATAAAGGTTATTTTAAAATTTGAAGTCATATAAAAGAACAACAGGAGTTGTATGTTGACAGAAAAAGGTGAGTTAGTGATGTGGTTAAATATGCCCATTGTAAGAGTGACAAAACTAAGGCAAAGAACAGTTGTCCATGGTTGAAAACAAATAGGAGCGGGGCTGGCCACCCAGCCTCCTGACTCAATTTCTCACAGTCCACATAATCCAAAATATTTCAGAGGCGCACAGCTGTGGTCTTCCCAGGAACTATACCCGGTCACCTCATGCTGGGCAGATGCTGCACTGACCAGGGCAGACCCTGGGTTCATGCATGCTTTCCTTGTGGCATATAATTCTCTCCATGCCTCGTGTCTCTGCTTAAAAACCAGGAAGAAAAATCCTTGCTGCCCCTTCCAAGAAAGGTGCAGAGAAAAGATGAAGCATGGACCGCCAGCCCCGCATTCTGAAGAACTGCAGTGTACCAAAGGGTTAGAGACGGGCTGCTGGAACTAAACACACTTGCTGACTAGCTAACCCGGTGCTTGTCTGTGACAGAACAGCCTCTTCCACCCCATCTCCACGCTCAAGGGCCCCCACGTGGAAACTGTTAGGGAAGGTACTACTCCGCACACAGGTGAGGGCTGAATCAACCACGGAAAAAAGCAAAGAGGAGGAGGGGCAGGGAGAGCTGCACACAGAGCACGCAGACACGGAAGACAAATACCTCCACTTTCAAAAAAAAAAAGGCATCACTAATTATTTCTAATCCTAAAAATAAGTTGAAACAAGCTGAGCACGATGGCTCATACCTGTAATCCTAGCCACTCAGGCTTTGATAGAGGTTCAACGCCAACCTGGGCAGAAAAGTCTATGAAATTCTATCTCCAAAACAGCTGGGCTGGAAGCATGGCTCAAGTAGCAGGAAGCTTCGAGTTCAAACCCCAGTACAAGTGAAAAAGAAAAAGAAAACAGTTGAAATGATACTCAGACTCAAATTTATGGCCCAGAAGCCCACGGGTCTCAACAGTGGTGGCTACCCTCTAACAGAGTGAATGCTCGTCTCTACAGCCATGGGCCTGGGCCTGCTCTATTCACATCTCCCCACACTTGGCCCAAGGCACTCAAGACAATAGTTTTAAACACAGGAAGTTTTACTACCTATCAGGCTCTTTTTCTAAACCAATGTTACCTAGGTCTTCCCTGGAGGAGCTTTGAAAACCTCAGAGACAAAGTCTCTCCCCTATCCCCTCAGTAACAGTAGCAAATTTCTTCCTCTGGTTCCTTACAGGGAAGACAGAAGAGTCAATGAGCCCAGCCCAGCAGCAAGCTGGAAGGAAGGACTTGCCTTCCTGGAAATCCCATGCCTACTTTCACTGGACTCGGCCTGTCAGTCTGTCTGTCCACCAGCTCTGAGGCACAGTGGGAGCCAGACATTCTCCTCTTCACCTCGGCTCATCAGGAGCCTGATTCATCAGGCTACAGCTGCGGCTGCTGCAGTGCTATGGACCCAGCCTTGTAAGATGACCTCCATCCAAGAGCTTCCCAAATTCCCCTAAAGCACAGTGGAGCTCAGATCGTTCCCTCCCAGTCAGGGCAAGCTTAATCCATTTGCCTCTCGGTGCCTCAGTTTCATGTGTTACTTCCCAGACTGCACTGGGCAGGAGATGAGTTTGCTTATTAAAAATGTGATGAGTAACAATCTGTCCTCCTCATTGCTTTTTGCTCCTTTCTATGCCCTGCCCTGGACAACTCTGAGGGACAGGAAAGTAACAACTGGTAAAGGTGTGTGTGTGCGTGGGTGTGTTCTTGGCGCTTGAACTCAGTACCTGGACCCCGACCCTTAGGTTTTTCCCTCAAAGCTGGTGCTCAATCACTTGAGTATTAAATCCCCTTTTGGCTTTCTGGTGATTAACTGAGGATAAACATCTCCAGGACTTTCCTGCTAGGGCTGGGGTTCCAACTACGATCCTCAGATCTCGGTCTCCAGAGCAGCTAGAATTACGGGCGTGAGCTCCACAGAAGTGTTATGTAGAACAGCTGGGGGAGTGACCAGAACAAACTTCTGCTACACAGAACCAACTCTCCAGGCCGTCCACCTCCCCGTCAGCAGAAGAAGTCACTCACTGTCCGGCTACCTGGGAACTCCAGGAAAGAAGGGACGCTAGAGGGTCACGGAGGGGACGCTGAACCAGTGCCCGCCAACGAGCTGCCCCGGGCAGGAAGACGCCCAGCCGTCCGACTGTCCCCAAAACAACCCGGGAAGCGCGGCCCTGTGAGCGAG